TTTTCCAGAAGTAATTAAATAATTATGGTTTGATAATTGAATATTCAACGGAAGGAGCAATTCTTTGTTCCTCATTACAGAAAGTTTGCTATTCCCATTACTTGGACTTATTGCACTAATAAAAATGTTCCTATTTTTTATGTAAAATGTTTTGCGGTCAGTGGTTTCATAAGTGCTGTCGTAAAACTTTTTTTTCTTTACTTTATGACGAGAAGGTTGGTTACACAGTGGTAATGAGGTTAGATAATTCATTCATACAGTAGATGGAAGGGCCACCGGCAGAACATGGACAATCTGTCTATTTCTATTTGCCAGCCTCCAATAGAGAATCTAATGGTATTTCGCTAAGGATGAAATACTTCCCTGCTGATGAACAGGAATGCATCAGCATTAAAAAGGCCACTTTTACGCTTTGACACTTTAACTTTTGGCCCAATCCAAATTTACTTGTCAAAATACATGGGATAAATGGTTGGTAATAGGCTCTATCCTTCTTTAGGAATGTTAACTATCCTGGAATTATAAATAAAATATGCCCAAAAAAATGTCCTGCTTGTTCTGGCTATGCTTGATCAAAAGCCATTTTTTCGCTTAATAATTATTTTTGTGTCACCACTTCAGGAATTACTATTTTTTATTGTTTTTATTGTAAATATGTACTAAATAATTAAAAATAATGATGAAATTGCAATGACGTAAGAAATCGGCTGATATTAATGAAAAATTGTAGGAAGTACAAACTAAATGACGTTGCCTGATAGGACTCTTGTTTAATTTGTACAAAGTCAAGGTCCCGAGCAACAGTGTCTACTCAAAAGTGTCCATGTTCGTTAATGGTTCCTGTTTTTCTAAGAAGTGAGATGTTGTACACGAGAAAAGTATAAAGAGCAGAAATGGGAAGTGAACACGCAGGCGGTCCTTGATAATTACAAAGGATTGTAGGAGGTGGACATGAGTTTTACGTTGGCTAGGACCAATGCGGACTAGCACGCTACCAGTTCTCCATCAATCTGGCAGCAGGGAGTGGAGACAGGATCTCCTGGATTCAATTATCAGTCAGCTAGGCCTCCATTGGCCCATAAAACCAAGAGCCTAGCTAGAGTAAAGAAAATATTAATCTTGTGTGGGGATCTGATCTGAAGGAAGGTAGCATCCCCACATAATGAATGTTGTATTGACCTCTGCTTGGGAGTCAAAGCTTCATTCTTAAATGAACTGCTAAGTGAATGACTGTAGGCCAACCATCTCCTGTTTAAAAATAAATTCTACATAAAATTTTCTTTCTAAATTTCTTTTTTTTTCTGATATTGCTAGCAGCGTTGTAGCTACGCCAGTCGGCACTGGCCGAGTATGACCAGCACTATCATTTGGTAACTAGAACTGAGAGCAAATATTTAAAATCCGACTTTAACAAAATTTGTGTAAACTAATTAATTAAAATATCAGTTAAATATGTCACTCACAAATAATATACCATATATACGCCATAATAGCCGGCACTCAAATCCTGCTAGCTACAACACTGATTGCTAGTATCATAGACTATTGTTTCTATTTTTTGCATTATAGGTATACAGTAGTTTAGTTTTCACTTATCATGAGTACTATAAAAAGTTCTACATACAGTACTGTACTTTAAATTTAAAACAATTATTTATATTTTAAAAAAATATATAAAACACTAAAGTTAGCACTGTCGACCAAAGTACACACTCGTGCACACGCTGAACAGGCGATGAGGAGCACCAGAATAGAAAATATAGACTAACTGATAAATATTTGTCAACAAATACTGTAATCATAAGCACAATTTTGTGATTCTAAAAAGAATGATAAATTCAACTTTTGAATTATGGCTATATATTTGTTGATTTTCATTACTGTAGTAATGTCATATACTGTAATCAGTTGTGTCTGTTAATTTAGATTTGTTTTAGGCCAAAGCATTGGGATGAAAATATTTCTTTGTATACAGAATCAGTGAATAAGAAGCCTTTGTGTAGCTATTGCCTGCCTACTGTGTCTGCCTGGTGGAGCTTGGGTGTAACTCTGTCACCTTGTCATCGATATAAAAAGGAACTAGTAAAAAATTGTCACGAGAGACACAAACTTGTTTAGGTTCATTGCTTTAGAGGACAAGAAGCAGGCAATCTGAATAAATGGCTAACATTGTTGCGTAGTAGTTGTCTAACAGTAACCGAACTTCCCTTTTAATTTTACACATATATTCAGTGAGAAGTTAACAATAGCATTTTATTGGAGTACATTAAAGTCAGTTAATGGATACATAAAACTAACAGGTTTTGTGGTCTATTCAAAATATACAATAGTTAAACAAACAGTTAGAATTTACTGTCAATTCTGGGTTATTTATATAGGCCTAAACTTTTCTAAAACTATATATAATTTTTTGGAGCCAGTTCATTGTACTGATTATCCATCTAAAGTTAAAGCTTGTGTCTAAAATATGAAAACCATGCTTTTTACATAGTTGAAATTGATTTCTGTTGCATTCAAATCCATTTAAAAACACTATCTTTTTAATTTTCTTCCATAGTGTGCATCGGTCTATATTTTGTAACTTTACATTATATGGCAGTAAATCGTGATTTAGTCTCGTGAGCCATTTGAACTTCTCTAAACTTGGTCACTGACAGGTCATGGCTGACATGTTAAATAAGGTTACAAACAAATATTATTTCTGAAAAATACGGATTAGCTGTACTTTGCAAACTATAGTGTTAAAAAAAATAATTTTACAAACACATTTTTGGGAGTCACTGTTTTATGCTGTGCAACATATCTGTGTTGTTTTTATTAGCCATATTGTAACATAATTATTTGGTAGAGCAAGGGCCGGTTTCTTTAATGGTCAAGTCGTTGTGTGCCCTTTGCTGTTGTGAGTGTAAAATTAATTAAATCGGGAAAAAACAACAAAAAGGATGCATAAATAAAAATATTATTGTCATGTAAAAAAATAGGATCCCTGTGGGAGCGTGTGTCTACTGCTTGTTATAGGTGTTTTTTTTACTTGCTTTTACTGTAACTCATAAACTGTCCACGCTTTCTGTTTTGGCAATTTACATGAATAACTGTACAATTTATTAACAGATTGTTGACTTTTTAGTTCTTTAGGACAGGTCTAGGCATGGCATCATATATCGTGGCTTATTTTTGGAAGAATTTTCATTTCTATCTTTAGCTTATTATGATACATCCCATTATCCCTCCAACCGGATGTACTCTTACAACATTTGGAAAAGATGATAGCAAAGTGTCTACTTGCTCGCAAGTGGGCAGTAGACACAAAAACAAGTTGTAGCTCCAAATAATGACAAACTCTTTCAGTTTTATATGATTTTTTTTCAAGAAATATTTCAGTAGTCTTAAAAACAGTCATCAAATCTCAACATTTAATCCCACAATGTCTCTTGTCATTATTTGAAGTTGCTATCTTTTTATTTTATTATCTAAAGTTTAATAGATCATTTGGTTTAGTAGGTCATTAATTTCAATATTATCATCATAAAGGCCATCTTTGTTTGTTAAATACACATTGCATTGGCTATATTAGAGTATTTGTAATTTTTGAGATCCTTTATAACCACTCGCCACCAACAACTTCCCTCCAAGACACTATCGGTACTTTAAATTGTGAGCAAGAATTGCTTCCTGATAAGGTAGAGAATAGCTTCTGTCAGGAGTTCTTAGATAGTATATAGGTTTATTTTATAGTGAATATCACTTGCTAATGAGATTCAACCCTTAGAACCTATAGAGTTAATTTTATGATACTACAACTTATACAAGCATGAAATAAGGTTATTGATAATAGACAATTTACTACAGTAAATGTCCATATATTCTCCATATTTTGTTTCTTATATTGTGTATTTTTTTGTGGTGTCTCTAATTAACTCAGCAGTTTTTTGCATGGTAAATTTAATGTCATTGTACTGCCTTTACAGTAAAGTGGTACAACTTATTTCCTGGATAATCTGTTAAAACAATTTATAAATTTCGAAAAAATCTCCAAGAAACACAAATTTTAAATCAAGTTGTGAGGCCAAGCTGGAATACTCCTTTGGGTTCTGCCCGCAAGGACACATTTTTTTACAACGTCGCGTCGCGTATGATTAAAAAAAAATCAATTTAATCTATACTGTTAAAGTGTAGGCCTACTGTTAAGTAAATTATTTAAACAATGACATGGTATAAAGTTAAAAAATAATCAGAAAATACTGTATTTATCATTGAGTGTTTGCGAATTTTCTTTAATCTTAAATGTTGCATTATTTGGCATAAGGATAATGCATCTTTCAACTCTTGTTGTTTAGTGGTAGAGTGGAAAAAATAAACTTATTTTGACAAATCATTTCTGGATTAAACATAATTAAAGCGTAGTTAAAACTGTTATAGTTGTTTATCAAAACAGCTTTACTGTACCTTCTATATAAGGTTTTTGATTTAGTGTCTGAACTAGATACTAAATGCCAGTCTTCAGTNNNNCCCCCCCACCCCTTGTTAAGCTTTTGTTGTTTAAATTTAAATCCTCTTTATTCATCTCTAATAAAATGCAGACTATTAAATTGCCACCTGTAAACTTGGGTGGCACAATCATGCACAAAGGAAAACACTTTTTTAATACTTTATTTTAGAAATATCTGTTTTTTAAAGGTCATCAGATGAGCGTACAAAAAAAAATTTTTTTAGAAATAAGTAGAAAGAGACAAATAAAAGAATGTGAGGAAAAAAGTAAATGAGTGCGCCCTGTAGGCTGTGCTTAAGATCTAATTGCATGTTCGTAAAGAGTGCAATGTTGTAATAAACAGTTCTTCAGGATCAGATTGATAATAAATGCCTTATATTTGTTTATCTGTGAGGAAGAATTAAAGATTTTTTATTGGAAAATATAAGAAAATTTTATTATTACACAAATTTCCATGATAAATGTTTTTATTACATGTTTTGATAAACTTATTCCCTTTTGTACTTTTTAGATGTTTCGGCATTGGATGGAGAACCACTGAGTCCTTGGTGTAGCATTGCTTACTGGGAGAATCGTACACGAGTTGGCCGGATGTTTTCAGTATTGCCGGACTTTGTAAATATATTCTACGAGCTACCTCATGGGGACGGGTTCTGTCTGGGCCAACTGCAAACAGAATCTCGTTCAGAAAATGTTATAAGAACAAGGACTAAGATTGGGTATGGATTAGTACTCAGTAAAGATAGGGATGGTGTGTGGATTTATAATCGCAGTAACTACGCACTTTTTATCAATTCTCCGACGCTAGACGACCCTCAATCACGAACGTTGACCGTTGTGAAATTATTACCAGGATTTTCCATAAAAGCGTTTGATTACACATTAGCAGAAATTTTGGAAGTAACACGGACAGAACCGGACGTTCCGATTGGTCCAACTGATTCAAACTCGCTCAGAATAAGCTTTGTGAAAGGCTGGGGAGGACGCTATTCACGGCAGCATATTACGTCTTGTCCGTGTTGGGTTGAAATTATACTCAGCGTACCGAGATAGCATTTGTGAAATCCATGGCCTTATTCATGTGAGATCCATGGTTTTTTTTTTCACTGAGATCTATGGACTTTGTGCCGAACAACTTCTCATGAAGTTTATATCTCATACAGTTTAGGTGATAAGCAACAATAAAGCAATTTATCAAGTCTTATAGTTTTTATTATAGTCATATTGTATTTACTGTAATTTTATTTTCAAATGTTAATGTTTTTTAAAAAGGCATACATACTGTATATCAGGGAAAGAACATGGTGATTTGAGCTACACAGTGTTGAAATATATGCTATGTTTTGTAAGAGTTGATCTATTATATGAAGACTTCTAAAGCCTTATTCTACATACAGACTAGAAAGTGTTAGTTAATTCATTTGATATAATCTGTAGATGTCAAGAAATATATTTGTATAGAAATTTCTAAGAAAACAAACCTTAGTTGGAAATATTCTGATGTTTATTTTATCCATTTCTTAATTTAAATTATTTATTGTATTATTGAAATAAACCATTTAGTTGTGTAAATGTAATCTTTATAATGATGAGACAGTTGATATAACAACAAAGCTATAATTAATCTACGAAGATGGGTATTTTTTTTAATTGCATTAAAATAATGTTGCTAACTGTAAAAATACACAAGACTACATAGTTTGATATATTGTCAAAGAAATAGTAACAGAGTATCAGGGTCTTCCCACTCTTAAATCAATAATGATGCTACTGCAACAATGCCTTGAAAAATATAATGCTTTATATTAACTTATGTTCACAAAAATAGTCTGCCTAGTGTATGTCAGATAACATGTAAAATATGGTCACAATTACTAATTTAGAGCATGGTGATGCAAGAAGAAACCTCTTGTTTATTATATTATTATTACTAGCAAAGACGAATGCTGCCTACAAAGCAGATGGCTTATTTCCCATGATATAAGCGTCTGTTTTTTGTAGACTTTGCTTCGACATTTAAAAACAGAAGGGAAAAAAAAAGCCATTTTAGCATTGGCTGTCAGTGTTGTGTTGATAGAGTGAATGGCATAGTAGACAAGCTTATTGTGTTCGTAAGCCAAGTAGGCTTTTGCAGATGCCTTAAGGGATTCATAACACAGTGTATAGCTCTATTATAATACTCAGCCTTTAGTAGTTTACTGATAAGTATGCAATATAGTCCTTTCATACTAATCAGTGTAAGGTAAAGATCTTTGAAAAGCAGCATTCACCTAAACAAACATACATAACTGTAGAGGCCATGGAAGCTAACTCCCTTGATTATAACAGCCTTCACCCTATCACTCAAAGTACACCCAACATCCTTTATATTTATATATATATATATTTAATTATTATTCTCTTTTTTTCATCTGTTACAGTGATTCATTGATAAGTCACATACCCTTAGATATTGTATGTCTGAAGTATGATACTTCATGTGAAATTTAAGTTGATAAATGCCACAAATGAATTCCCATAAAATATCGCCTCGATATTATTGCCAGTAACTTGACAGTTTCGCTGTCACTGTATCTTATAATATTAACCACAATAAGATGAATAATTTTAAGAACACTACTAATTTAATTCATTAAACCGTAATTGTGTATTTAAATTTACCTAATAATTGTACAAATATCATTTATAACAGACCATAAACAGTATATAGCTTTTATACATTATCCAGATTTAAAATGCTTCCATGTATAAACACAGTTCATGATATGCACACCCCGACCCCACCTCCCAACAAATCCTCATCCAGTCAGTGAGAAGGATGTGTTTGGCATTCCATTTTTTGAAGCATCATCACATATTATTTCCAGTGTGTCAGCACTTGAAACCTGGTCTGTTCAAACATTTTGAAATCTACTAGGATAAATCAAGCTGACTTGTCAGCAGCAGTAGTATGTTGACAGGGCAGTCAGCTAAACATCTAATCACTACTGGTTACTTCTCAAAGCCTAATACTCCATTACCATCATTCACACACATTCAGACAAGCATAAATTCCAGTCTTCAACATCTTGTTTCAGAAATTGTCGCAAATACATTTTACTGTTTTGCATTGTGTAGTGAAAGAATAGGATGGTTTTGTTTTCATCATGAAAATGTTGGGATGGTATCATCCATGTATTTATTATGGTATTATTGACCATCTATTAATTTACCGTTGTATAGACCATGTATTTACCACAGTACCATATTTACCATGGTATTGACCATGAATTACCATTTATAGACCATGTATTGACCATTGTATTTACCATGGTACTGTACTGTATTGACCAGGATATTAACCATAATTGTTCATGTATTAATGAACCATGGTATTACTATTTACTATGTATTTGCTATGGTGTTGACCATGTATTTATCATGGTATTGACAATATATGGTTTTGACCATGTATTTACCAAAGTATACTGTGGTTTTTACCATGTATTTACTATGGTTTTGACCATGTATTGGCCATAGTATTTACTATGGTTTTGACCATGTATTTACCATGGTATTTACTATGCTTTTGACCATGTATATACCATGGTATTTACCATGGTGTTGACCATGTATTTTGTTTTTACCATGGTGTTGTATGACCATGTACTTACTGTATTTAATATGGTATAATAAACAGGCTGGTATTATGTTATTCACATATTTTACCTACCTGCATTTATTGGTATGCAATCATCATTATTATTATTTACAAATGGTTACCCTTATTTGGCATTGCCTGTTTTTTTTTTTCTCATCTGTCATTGTGATCATAACACTATCATTAGATTGCCATGCTCGATTGTATTTTGTTTGTATGTTTTACTTGCCAATTTAACAATTATGCAAGTGTGCTAGGTTTTTGTGTGTTCAATTATACATCTCAATTTGTTATGGTATCCCATTGGTTGCATCCATTAGTGTGGGTTGCGGCTCAGTCTGGTTGGTTGGTTGCCACTGGCGTGGGTTAGTGGTGTTGGTAAGAGCTCAATCATGTTGGTAGCCGTGCAGAGGTGTGGTTGCAGTTGAGTCCCGTTGGTAGCTGTCCAGTGGCTGCAGCTCAGCACTTATGGTGGCAACTTAACCCATCTGGTTGCAACTCAGCATTTTGGGTTGCAACTCAACCTTAGTGGATTTCAAGAGGCATTACATTACTTTACATTGTACAGTAATGACTGTCATACTAATTTTACACTCACTGTTGTGTTATTGATATATTAATGGTGTTAATTTTGCATATTAAAAAAAAAGATAATAAATAGGGTAAGAATAGAACAACAGGAGGCAATGTCATTTTGCTTTCAGCAGTTAGCCAAATAAAAAAAATATTGCTTGATTTTCACATCTAGAAAAACGTCTGTTATATCATTATTTTATTAAAAATGATATTATTATTGCTATGTGTATGGCGCTCCTGCTTTGCATTTAGAATCAGTTGTACGACAGAAAGTATCAAAATATTTGTACTGAAGGTAACAAATTTGAACACGGCCATTTATACTATACACTAAACGTAATAGACATTGATTTCTATATATTTCTATCACTGCCATTAATTAAGATCTCACTCCATTAACACTGTTAGTTTTCTACCACAGTTTGCCATTCAATTTGAGACCTCTTAATGTTCGATACCCTTCTTATTTGAGACCACTATTGCAAAGTCTCTAATAGGCGTCTGAACCTTAAGACCACCCTAAATTTTCAGGTTCCAAATATGGTCTTAAATTGGAAGGCAAAATTTACTGTAGTTGTCAACAAATAGCAAATGTTAATAGTTGTGTACATGCAAGTGGTAGTACATGCAAGGCAAATTTGCATATATTAACACTGTTGATTCCTTTTCATAACTCGACTATGCATGTCAAAAAGAGGGATATATTTGGGGGGAATGGGTAGCAAATTTCCATATTAATAGGTTATTAAACTGGGTAATGTCCCTGGTCCTTTTCTTTTTGAAGACAGCCACTGAAATTTCTGAATTATTTGTACATGATGTTGAAATTTTCTAGTCAATATTAATTCGGTAGCATTTATAATGTCAAACATGCTGATGAACAAGAGGTGTGTGGGGGAGGGGGGTTGGTGGTAATATCACAAATTTTGCATTTTACTTTTGACTAAATAAATAAATAAATGCCTTGTGATACAATAGGGTTTGGTAAATTGCAAATAAGGTTTCAATCAAAATACGCAATACTTATGAAGAGTATTTTGTGACAGGGTACTTTGAGTAATAATATTAATAATGAATCAACCGTATATGATATATAAACTGGGATATTGTATATTACATATTAGTATTGTCTAATCTTTAGTAAGTAAAGATGATACTTTTTTTTATGTCCTTTGAATCTGTATTTTTTTTATTTTTATTAAATTATTATACTGTACTGTAATGTGATGAATTATTGATAATTGCTTTGTTGTTGTTGCTAGTGGTAACGACGCAGCCATGTCTACGTGTTTGTTTATACAGTATAAGAATGGTGCCGAACAGGTTGTAAAGAACAAATCGCCTACTGGTCTAATCCACTTGTATAGGTTCTACTACAACTTTTTTTTATTGAAATCTTACAAACATAACACGAAAATTGTTCTAAAATAAACAATAAAGACATTGTATTTGAACAGAGCACATTTCGATTGGTTTTTATTGTTTTACTCTCATGCTAACAATAATAAAATAAATAATTTATAGAGTTTCGATAACAAATATTATTAACTGATTATTGTAACAATTTTAAGATTTTCGACAACTATGCACGTAGACTGTGTGACGACTGTGTCGTCCGATTGAGGGCGCTATATGGAAATTTAACAGCAGCAGTCGGCGATTTGCGACTGTGTCAGCTTTTATGTGGACAGCATCAGTAATACTGGGGATTCACAGATCCTGTTTTTCTGAAAGAAAGTAATTTCCAACTATAAAGTACAGTATAAAAGACATCCGTTTTCGTGAGCGAATATTTAATATCCGTAACGAGCAGTGAATTACGGGTATTTCCTATATAGTGTTTAGCCAGCGTGTTGACTTCTTTATTTCTTTGTTGACATTTTGACCGGTCAAACGGAGTCAATTGGCTGACCGGTTAAAGTTAATTTACTGTCGTCCGTTTATAATTTGAAAACGTAAACAATATTCTTGTAGTTCGTACTAAATTGTTTTTTGTGCAGTAAATATTCTGAAATGGATATTAATTATTGATTAGTTGGTAGAGTATGTGTGTGTATAACTGTTAGCCCCCGCCAGTGACAAAATGTCATTATGTATTTATGAGCCCGGTGCAAAAGCGTATTTAAAATATGTTCATGTGTATGATTCGTCTGGTCGTTTGTGAGCAAATTGTAAGACTGTACATTACCATCAAGTAGGCCTACCAACTACCGCAGAAGATAAAATGAAAGTCTAGTCATAGATCTTAAGTGTGGTGCGTATCCTTACGACTTGTGATGGAATTGAACTACGTGACAATTGTGATGAAGCAGGAGACAAAGAGTTGGAATTGAAGAGCGACGTCATTGCGGCGGCGGCGATCGCATCTATCTAAATTGCCTACGCTCTCTCCCATAATTTACGTCCTCTTGTTCTGTCGGACGCGTTGACTAACTTCTTTATGCATTCGCGACGGTGTTCTGTTGTTATGCCGACCTGTGCCCTGACACCCATTCATCACCACCGTCTGCGAATACTCGCGTACGTGTGAACAGACTACGTGCAGACGCATACTTTAAAACAGATGCGAGCACGCAATACGAGCTTAAGCAGATGCTTTTAATATAGTCGACTAGAATGAGTTCTATGCCTCGATGAGACGATGTATTGATCGCCTCGTATAACCACAGCAATTAATAACCGCGACGACACCGTACTCAGATCTCTCAACACACCAGCTATGGAATAACTTGGAACTTCATGATGAGTTTTATCACGGTATACTATCGATTTATATTTTGCATTCTCAAATTCCATAAATCATTCTTATCATTCTTATCATCATCATCATCATCATCATCATCATCATCATCATCATCATCATCATAATCATCATCATCATCATAATTATCGTCATACGGTAACCATGCATCATTATCATCGATCAAATCCGGTGTCGTCGTTTATTTATCGTCATCATCATCATCATCATATCCGGTGTCGTCACTATATTCACTGTCATCGTCATCATTGAAAATTATCATTATCATCATCAATTGTCACCATCCTCGTCGTCGTTATATTTGTTTACTTATTTATTGACACTTCATCTCTAGAACGGTGGCACACACAACTCGTGTGGTGCGGTCAGATAACAATAACAAATAAAATACAAAAGAAAAGAAAACAAACTGATACTGAAGTTGATATTGTCGGGCCTATTTTAGTGAATTCATATTATCACTTCATCATTATTTTCACCGTGTCTTCTCCCCAATCGCCTACCCCTTTCTGCATTGAAATCCATCAATGCATGTTATGAGTTTAATACATTGAATAGTTCAATTCCATATTTGAATTGCTTAATTTGAAGGCTTATCAGGTACATTATTAGGGGCGCAGCCAGAATGGTCATGGGAGTCCTAAACTCCCCTCAAATTTCTATAAAAAAATTAAAAATTGGAAAACCTAGAAAAAAGATAGTAGGCCTATGTTCGTTAACTGCCAGGGATTTCTAATCAGTAATTAAAAGTTACTTAAGTAAACATACCGCCTCCGCAGCAGTTTTAATTTTGAATTTTGTTTTTTTATTATCACTGTAAAAATCTTTTGCTTTACAGGCCCGTCGGCAGATGGTGTGGAACGCAAGCTAGGTCTTGTGTTCCGTAAAATACCTTTCTGTCTTGTAGCACGTAAAATAAAGCAAATTTTTCCTGGGCCCTCGGCTCCTGGACCCCAAACGGGCACTTGCCTTCCCCCAATCTAAGTTGCGAGCAACTTACCCCCTCCCCACCTTGCATGCCGTCCTGGCTGTGCCCCACGTGCTTATTAACAATTAAACATTTGAAGGAGAAAACACTTTGCCCATCAGTTAGCAGACAGATAAACATAAACACTAACTGCTGTATTCATTTTTCATAGGTCCTTAAAATTTGCTGGTAATCGATTCAAAGATTTTTTATAGTAAAATGTAACGTATGGTAAAATGTCTGTCAATCAGCGGAAAGTACAGTATTTTCCCTGGTTGGTTTGTGCATTTCGATTTTTCAGGTAGTCACTTTGGAAGGACTGCAGCTCGAAAGACCATATCTGTAGCCAGACCATCGAATAATCGTGACATGTGTGCACGTCATAATGTTGGACGCGCGCGCGATTGAGGCATGATGTCCTTTAAAAACCACAATTATAAACCACTGATAGTATATCTGTGATTTAACGATCGAGACAGGTACTATTGGACTTGGACGCCGCCATGGCGCCTTGCGTTTTTATTTCACACTTCCGTAAAATAATGTTTGTGGTTCGCCAACAAGTTCAATAAACTTGCCGATCGAGATTTAGATGGAAGTAGGCCTACGGGCAACGAAAGACAGTAACCGCTTGCTTTAAATTATTCATGAATAACTATTAAGTACAATCTAACGCCGGCAATTACAATCACCGCCAACCAGACAGATACAGTAGGCCTATCAATAACATGCATTTTTATGATTTTAAGAAAAATGGACTTTTGCAAGGAATTGGTCTGCATATGCAGTAGGCCAAGGCCCAGAACAAGGATTCTGTCGCAGGTTTTTACGTGTATGTGCGGACGACGGGATGTGTCCCGAGGCACTGCCTGGCGTGAAATTATATACTTATTCGATTAAAAAAATACGATTAGATGTAGAAATGTAAGTGTCACTAAAGCAGAAACAGGATTCCCTTTTGAAATGAACGTTCGGGTTACTCAGCAGGAAAGTGGAATTTAAAAAGTTGGTTTTATCGGTTATTTCCTCTGCACTGCGCCAGCCAACAGATTACGGAATCCAATTGAATGGTGCATCGTCATTTCCCCTCATCCCTTACGTATCTGTCCTGTAATTGGCCATAATAAGTATAATACTCAAGTTCATGTTGTTGGTGGCTGCTGGTATTATATGTGGATGTGTTTGTGGTTATAATTCTTGCCTTCCGATCGCCGGGAATCACAGGATTCAAATCATTTTATTGTTTTTTTTTTCCACCAAAACATAGGCCTAGCTCTAACAAAGCACAGTGCTCCAATAGGCCTATATAAACAAATGTGAGGCAGGTGTGTCGTCAAGATTTGCCCGACGGGGAGTCCGAGGTTCCCGACGAGTGTGCCGATGCAGGGGTCCCCAGTCTCCCAGAGGAGTCTCCCGGAAATCGGTATGGTGTCCCGCATTTCCGCAAGGAGCAAAAATCTCCCGGAAATTCACTTATCTTCAGCAAATTCAGTAAAAAACAAATCTTTTTCTTTTATTTACGCCTAAATTTTAGTTGCCGATTATTTTTTGCAGTCTGACAGTGCCATTTCCGGGCTTTTAAAGGTGCCTATCTAAAAAACGTCACCAACTCAACCACATGGTGGGCCTGAGGTGGGCGTGGCCCTTCGTTTGGTACCTACACTTTTTCCTCATAGAACATATAGCGCCCCTCAATGTCATTGAACGAATCTCCCTGGAAATAAGTTCTTCCAACTTGGAACCCCTGGCCGATGTCTCCGACGAGATCAAAGTTGGCGTGGTCGGGCGTCGCTCAACATACTCGAAATTGGTCCAGGAGGCGAAGCCCCGACAATTTTGACAATGTGGGGTTTCAAAGGCTTATTTAATGGATTTTAGAGTCTACTAATATGTATAATTTCTTTTCTCCCGACTAATTGTGGTTTTTTTTCCCGACAGGGGGGGGGGGGGATCTCTCCCCGACAGGGGTTCTGGATCCCCCAGTTGCCCACTGGCGTCACCCCAGATGTGAGGACAATTTTTTCAGTTGTGAGAGAGATTTTGTTGTTGGCGGAATTTGGATTTGCAATATACCAATAGGTTCTTGTGGTCTAGCGATATGAAACTCGCCTTGATAGCAAGAGGTGGTAGGCTCTATTCCCACTGAAGACACGTGCTGCGCATCAAGAGAACAGCACAAGTTCTCGATGCATCGTAAATAGCGGAGATCAATTGGCCTATGAAATTTCATCTTAAATTTCTGAACAACGAAATTGGATTTCCAAAATACTTTTTGAATTAATCATGGTACAATGAGAAGAAAAACTCTAAACCGTCCTGCTGTGATATTATACATACATTTGAAACATATTAAAGAAGAGGAATCTCTGCAAGTGTAAAAAGTCTCACCAAACGGGTTCGAACATGGGACCTTCTGCTGCCTATACAGAGGCCCCATAGAGGCTTCGCTGGGAATTTTCAAACTGATTAAAGTGACTCGTGATCTTCAACACTCTTTTACACATGTAATAGCACTATGATACATCCTAATCTCATATGCCTATATTATGCATTTATATCTATAGACACAAATACCCACACACGCCCACACACGCCCACACCCCTCCACAC